GAGAGAGAGAGAGAGAGAGAGAGAGAGAGAGAGAGAGAGAGAGAGAGAGAATGAGAATCAGAGAGTCAGTCTACTTCTTGAGATGGGAAAGAGGTGAATGAAATTCAGTAACCTAACTAGGCTTCGAGGGTGAGGTGGGGGTCTGAATAACAAAAGAGCTGAAAATATTAATTAACTCAGAAGCCACCATTTAACTGGCACTTAAAGAGCTGTAGCACTTCCTTCCTCAAAAAAGTGGTGGCAACCTGAGCAGGAATGAGAAGTAGATGTCAGAGTCAGACCTAGCCTTTCTCCTGGTCCAGAATTTTACTAGCTCTATGATGATGGATAAATTACTTTATCTCAAGGTCTGAGGGTGGGTAACTGACTATCAACCCTGAGTTCTTTAGCCACTTGGGGAAATGACCTCAGGGTAGTCTTATTAGTCTGGAGCCCCTGTTTAGGTCCCTGGTAGAGGAAAGACCCATAAGAGGGGAATGTGTTTTGGCTGTCTGTGGGCTTAGAGATGAGTCTTTTCTGTATTCTTTACTCTGCATGATAAACTTGTTCTTTGTTCAAAGCTTTGTTAGCTAAATGTTTGCTTGGGAACCGAGACACCTAGACAAATACTAGATGTGGGACAAAATCAAAAGTTCCAAGGTCCTGAGCCCTGGATGAGTAAACTCATGAGTTATACAAATTCTTCTTAAAGGGTAGTCCTCAGGGCTGATTCTGCTCCAACTATCAAAGGAGACCAAATTCTCACAAGCATCAAATTAAAAAAAAATAATTGAACCAAAATGTTTAAACTATTCATAGCTATAATCTTACTGGAAAGCCTGGTAGACCCGTATATCCTGGAGATCCTGGGCTTCCCTTTAAACCATCAGGTCCTTGCCCCCCTGCAAATCAATCAAGTGACAATATTTATTGAGTGGTCCTTATGTGAAAAAAAAGAATTCCAGTTAACAAAGCTTATGAAAACTAGCTGTTCTTTTTAGGCATCATCTAAAGGAAATTATTATTTAAATTATCTCTATTTTATTGCTGTCATAGCATAAAAATAGTGTTGAGTAAAAGAATGAACTGAGAGGCAGAGTATCTGGGTACTACTCTTAGATCTTTCTTTTCATAAATTATCAAAAATACCGACATTCCAATATAAAGTTGTTTGGTCAGAATGCTTTGAGGAATACAGAGGAACACCTCACTTGGGTATTAAAGCACTTTACAACCAGGAGCCCCTTGACCAATGACAGTGCTTACTACCACTCAGGAATCTCTGTTACCCCACTGCAGACCACCAGTAGACACAGAACCAGTATTAATAGATGCCAAGACAGGGAACTTTACCCTCCCAAACCCAACATTCATTGGTCAGTTCCTGTCAATCACTGGACACCTACCTACACACAGCTGAATGCTGACTGAACCCTACCCGCACCTACTTCTGCTGTAGATATTCCAGAATTCCACTGCCCTGAAGTGAATTTGGCTTGGCACCATCTGGGATTTCTGACTCAAGTCTCTATAGCCTCCAAGTAGGACTCACTCTTTCTTTCTTTCTTTCTTTCTTTCTTTCTTTCTTTCTTTCTTTCTTCCTTCCTTCCTTCCTTCCTTCCTTCCTTTCTTTCTTTCTTTCTTTCTTTCTTCCTTCCTTCCTTCCTTCCTTCCTTCCTTCCTTTCTTTCTTTCTTTCTTCCATTCTTCCTTTCTTCCTTCCTTCCTTCCTTCTTTCCTTTTTTGGCAAGGCAATTGAGGTTAAGTGACTTGCCCAGAGTTACACTGCTAGTAAGTGTTATGTGTCTGAGGTTGGATTTGAACTCAGGTCCTCTTGACTCCAAGACCGGTGCTCTATCCACTGTACCACTTAGCTGACCCTAGAACCCTTTCTGAATGCCAGTTAATGAAGTCCCAGGGATCACTGGCATTTTTGTTACCTGGACTCTTTTGTTTTGACCTTCTAAAATCCCCTTTCTAGTCCACTCAAATTATCCTAGTACATACATGATTTCAAAATCCCTCCTTGCCAGGTAAGACAGCCTTACATGCAAAAGGGAATAACAAATCCAAATATCATTTACCTTGAGTTCCTTTTTCACCATCTAACCCAGGCAAACCTGGCAGACCTGGGGGTCCCGGAGTATAAGTGCATTGGGTACACAGCAGTCCTGTTTCTCCTAGAGTGATACGATGGTTCCATTATAATCATGAGCCCATATGATCCACTTAGGAGAATTAAGCCTTTTTATTTCATGAGACAGAGAACTTGTTTTTTGTGTGTTCTGAAAAGCACTTAATAAATATCAAAACTATTAATAATCTCTCCCTTTTCTATCTGCCTGGGGTAGACAAATGAAAAAGAATAAGAACTTAATTCCAGTTATCTTCATTTTGGGCATTGTGAAACAGAGATGGAAAATCTGCCATAAAAGTGATTAACCCTTTAGTGTTTATCATCTGGCCTGAGGAATAAAGCTGAGAGTCAATAAGAATTCATTTGGACCTTCTTTTAGCTTTCTATTTATAGATACATATAAAATCCATGAGCCTTTTTCAGCTAATTCTTTTTTTTTTTTTTTTTGAGGCAATCAGGGTTAAGTGACTTGACCAGGGTCACTCAACTCATAAGAGTCTGAGGCCGGACTTGAACTCAGACTCCAGACTCCAGAACTAGTGCTCTGTCCACTGTACCACCTAACTGCCCCAGCTAATTTGTTTTTAAAAAGAAAAATTTTTAAAAGAGTAAAGAGTTAAACAACTTAATTGGCTCCTTAATTTTTGTGTATTGTCATTTTGTAAGAGGAAAAATTGGGTAAAATACAGATAATTTTAAAGCTTGACATTGTTGATAGGCTCACTAACCTTTGGGCCCATAGGCTCCAGGCATGCCTGGAGACCCCACATGGCCTGGATCTCCATGGTCTCCTGGAGGACCGTTCCGAAAAGTTACTTTACCTGTTGATAAGTTAGAAAGACATTTTTAAAGCTATTGCATATTCTTAGAGACCATTTCCTAGGAACATATATTAGGTAACGTATCTAACCCATAATTCTTTTATTGGAAGATGAAGTCACTCATGTATGTTGGTATGACTGAAGAGAACGAGTTTATTTTGTGAATAACGAATTATTTTCACAATTGCATAGATAGAAGTGGAAGGCTGAGTTTGGAAAAGGGCCAGAAAACTGGTTTATTTGGTCTACAAGAGACATGAAAAAGAGTGATGCAGAATGTCAGGAAAAGTAGGACATGGAAGACTTTAAATGCCAGCATGAAGAGCTTATAGTCTATCCCAGAGACAGTAGCCAACATTTATATAGCAATTTAAGGTTTGCAAAGTATCTCATTTTATTCTTGCAACTCTAGGAGGCAGGTGCTATTATCATCCCCATTTTGCAGATGAGGAAACTGATGGAGGCTGATGTTAAGTGACTTGCCCAGGGTCACAAAACTGGTATGTGTCTGAGGCTGGATTTGAATTCAGGTCTTCCTGATCCCAGGTCCTGAGCTCTGTGCACTGTGCCACTAGCTACCTTCATGACTCTGTGCATGCAGACAGCTACTAATGAGGCATAGTTATAAATTATCTGTTGATAAAAGCTTTGATTCAATGACTCTTCCAGAAGCTTTGCATTCTTATTGGTTTTGCAGGTTAAAAGCTGCACATTCTCCAGGAATTGGTCTAAATCAGATCCCTGGACTGGGCAGGGATGAGGAAAGACCTGGTGATGTCCGAGTTGCTGAGTGCCCCAGGTCACTCAGCTGATAGCTGAGAGAGTCAGCATTCTGCCTCAGATATTGTGACTCTATATCCAGTTCATAGTATCATAGATGAAGAGATGGAAGGGACCTTCAACTCCAACCTCCTCATTTTACAGTTGAGGAAAATGAACTCCAAAAAGAGTAAGTGACTTTTCCAGGGTCACTGAGCTAATGAGATTGATGTGCTGCCTAAGTTTAGATTCTTGACATTATATACCCCTGCTGTTACCTTAGTACAATACTTTGAGTGGCTTTGTAGAGGGATAATAATGAGCTGGTGATTACTCTGAAAACAGGTCACTCAATCCTCCTGACTTCACTGATAAAGGATTTGGAACGGGAGCAAAAATAAGGCATCAAAACTCATGATTTCAGAGCAGGATTAAAATCCATTGTCCCTTTCTAAATTGGTTACAAGACCAAACTGCAGATAATTTGGGGGGTGGGGGTGGGAGGGAAGCATTTTGACCTGGTGGTCCTGGAAGACCAGGTAACCCCTTGTAGCCTCGTTTGCCTGGGAATCCAGGAAGTCCAGGAGGCCCCATTATGTTTATGCCAGGTGGTCCTCTCTCTCCTTTACGTCCTTTGATTCCTGGGTATCCTGGAGTACCCCTAAGACCAGGTCTTGATGCCCCTAAGTAGAAAAAAAAAATTTAAGCTATTAAAGTTACTTCCAAAAACATTTTAGGTAAGTTATTTTTCTGTACCTGTGTTTCTTCAACACTCAGTCTTCTTCTAATGACCCGTTTTGTATCCAAGAAAAGTCTCTTCATTTATGATCCAGGACTTTAAAATTATTGATTAACATTTTAAGGGCACATGAAAATGCTAATGAAAACCATGGTCCAAGCTGACTGGATAATAAGATGCCACCATTCCACCTACTCATGTTAGTTCTCATCTTTCCTTTCATTACCTGTCTCAGATAATTAACAAAGAGGTACTAAAAATGTCTTGGGTAAAGTCAGGAAACATCTGATGTCTCACACAGAGAGACATAACTTTAGTGTAACCTGGATTAATAGGAATATTACTATTTTTAAAAAAATTTATTATTGTATATATTCGAAGAAGTACATACATACCGGGTCTACCAACATCTCCTGGTGGACCTCTGGGTCCTATGGAAAGGATGAAACATTTTTTTAAAAGACGTGAATACCAAACCTCTCTCCCCCTTGCTTCCTACCTCCCAAAGGAAAGCATATGATTATTGGGATTTAGGGCTATTAGGAACTTTGGAGGCCATCCAGACCAATACCCTCATTTTTTACAGATAAGGAAACTGAGTCCCAGAGACATAAAGTGACTTGGTGAAGGCTGAATAGGTAGAAAGAAGCAGAACTGAGATGCAAACCCAGGTCCTCTGACTCAAATCCAGGGCTAATTTCCTATACCACGTGTAACTTAAGTAACTGGAGAAATTGTAGGGCATTATACTGAAAGGATCAGGAGCATTAATCAACACAAAAATTTGAAAATAATTTTGCTATAATTTACTGTAGTTTTTCTTATCTATGTAATTAATTTAAATGCAAATAATTATAAGCTGATACTATAATTTTACTTTCAAGTAAGTTTTTTCATTCTCCTATATCTATTTTCTTTGCCTTGTGGATTAAAAAAATGCACTGTATCAATTGATGCTGCTTGGTCTTTTGAGGTATTCTTAAATTTTGGTCCTTCTAGTTAGTCACTCAAACACTTCTCATGGCTTTTTGTGTCTTGCTCTCTTTTCTTTAAACACTGTGAACTTCATACAGACAAAGATTAAAGAGACTAAAATCTCACTAATAAAGAGATAAACTTGGGGAAAGCTAGTCAAGGAATGAAAACTTTTTATGGAATAATTGTAAAGAATTGAAATGATATGTGTAAAGGGATGATGTATTTAAAGTGCTTGCTGAACATGAAGGGCTATGTAGCTATAGGCAGTTAAGTGGGGCAGTGGATGCCTGTATTTCATTCATCCTCACAAAAATTCCACGAAGTAGCTTTTGATATGGCTGTTTAAGTGTTGGGACATATAAATGGTAATAGAATTTAATCATCACCATCATCTCTGGGAAATGCTAAGCTTGAACATCCTTCTTCTTAAGTGGCAGACAGTGAAACTCTTGGAATCTTTCAGAAATGCATCACAATGAGTGGGACTGGTGGTGAGAAAATGCTTTAAGAAAAGCCCTCTTACCATGTGGACCACGTTCTCCTTTGGGTCCTGGAGGGCCAGGAGTGCCATCGCTGCCTTTCTCCAGGTATCCATTGTAGTATTCTGTCTTAAAATAGAAAGGCATGAAAATAAAAGAAAGGCTCCTAGGGTCTCACTGAAAGCTTTCAATGGACAACATAATCATGTCAATTATTCTAATTTCTTTTGTGGCCTCTTGATTGAAAGGAAACTTTCAGAATTTGCCAGACATCATAGGTCATCTGGGACACAACAATCACATATGACCTTAATATACTTGAATAAAATAGACTTACACAGTAGGTCACAGGTGAAATTTAGGGGCTAAAGCTACCCTCCTGGTATTATAATTATCCTGTGTGTCCGTGTTATAAATTTAAGAATTCTATCTATTTGCAAGTCTAGATGAATATAATCTCTAATGGGCTCAATAGAACTATGACTAATCTCTTCTCCCTAATCCTGCAGCTCATCTGCAGGCTGACATTCCTTAGCAATTAGTGATGCAGCTTCAGAGGAGGAATGTAGTTCTTTAGAAGAGATTACTGATAGACGTATTGTAGACATAGAATAATAACTTGTGGTGTCCCAAAAGTCTTTGTGGAGTCTTAAGGTTTACCCAGCTTAAAATTCCACTAAGACTTCTGGGATGCCCTGTATTAATCCACCCTCACATTTCAAATTTGCAGAATGTTTGCATTAAGTTTACACACATTCTCTCACTTGGTCCTCACCACACCCATGTGAGGGAACTGCTATTATTAGTCTTAATTTTACAGTGAGGAGACTCAGACTCAGAGGTGCTAAGTGAATGACTTAAAGTCACTGCTAGTAAGCATCCAAGGCAAGATTCCAACCCAGTTCTCCCTGACGCTGAGTCCAGCACTTTCCTCACTCATTCCCCAAGTTGTCTCTCCCACACCAATGAAAATCAAATTTTGTTCAGGGAAAACAGAAAACTTATTTACTTATTTATTTTTTTTGTTTTGTTTTTTAGTGAGACAATCAGGGTTAAATGACTTGCCCAAGGTCACACAGCTAGTACGTGTCAACTGAAAATTTATTTTAAAAGGTCATAGCAATAGGAAACTTTAGGGTCCTCCTTCACTCCCCCTCTCTGACCCACTTTTCTTTTAGCTTCTGAATTTTAACCTGGAAGGGAAAAATCTACTATTTGTCACCTTGTTATGTAGATGGGAAAATGGAAGAGTACTGAGACTATGGCCAAGACTATAGAATTACATGATGTCTATGGATCAGAACTTACAATCTTGGATTTCGTTGTTTTCCTACTCGCTACTCTATAGAAACTCATTGTGTCCCACATGGTGTTCAGGAACTGAGCAAAAGTGAGTCTGTTTCTATACTACAGAAAGGAAAATGGATGGAGGGAGGGTAAGAGGGCTCTTGGCATCTTTCCATGGGTTCTCACTGGCTATTCCCACTCTCCATTAGCATTTGTACTTGGTTCTGCCGGGAAGTTTGTCTTTTGTCACAGCTACGTTCCCCTAAGAAGAGAGCTGGGGAAGATAGAGCTCCATTGTGGATGGCAATATTTCACGGCCATTCTCAAAAGTACCTTGTTTATTTTGTTGTTTTTTGGGTCAGCGCCATAGGTAGGATGGGCTAATCAGGGCATTGCCCCAGGGTGCTCAAGCATCCACAGGTTTGTTGTCTCTTACACCTCTCAATTCTCCATTGGTCCCATACCATCACTCTTGTAATCATAATGTGACTGCCTCTGACTCTGCCTTACCTTGAATCTCCAGTGCTAAGCACAGTACCTAGCACATAGAGGCACATAATACATGCTTCCTGATTGCCTGTTCTCTCATTTGGCCCTAGGTAGCCACCTCAGTTACAAATGCTTCTTCTGTTCAATGTTGTAGCTAACCTGGCATACCTTAGATAAGTTCTTGCCATATCCCTTATCTTATAATCATATCCTTTTCTTATTTCTTCCCCCTCTATTATCTCCTCCTCCTCCTTGGAGTTGGGGATTGCAGGTCGTGGGCTGCCCCAAAGGGGGCTTTTGTGTGAGCCACTCACACTCTGGTACTATTAAATCAGCAGAGAGGTGGCCTGTCACACAGAGTATCTGTCTAGTCCTAACCTTCATGGGCTCATAATCTCCACCCATCAGCTTTTATGTGCTTCTTAAGCCTTCCTACCCCATAAGTGAACCTCTCCACAGATAAACTTCACCTTGCTTCCCTCCACCCCTTACAGCCGCTTAAGGTATCCTTGGGCTTCTGTGTCTTCCGCCACTGGGCCTTGGATCCCTAAGGTTTGAGATCTTTCCCCAATGTTCTCCTCACCCTCTGATCTTTCGATGGGAGCCATAATTTCTAGTTATAGTTCTGTAAGCATGGCAAGTAATATTGTGGATTTAGAGCTAGAAAAGATCTGACAGGCAATTGAATACAACTCCCTCATTTTGAAGATGAGGCAATTAAGTGATGTCCATACACAGTGCCTGAGGTGGGATTTGAATCCAGATCTTTGTGACTCCAAGTCCAATGTATTCTCTACTATACCTTGCTGTCTTAATAAATGCTTTATGGTTGATTGATTGGGTATAAGGAGAGGAAGTCCCTTAGTCCAGGAGTGTGTGTGTTGCTACTGTCCTCAACGCAAAGGTGGGAATCAACTTTGTTATTAATACCAACAAAAAGAGAATCTTCCTGGATGTTTCAAAGATAAATGTTATAATGTGAATTTCTTGAAGAGTTGTTATAAGAATTACTGAGTCAGGGTGCAGTGCCTTGAGGTGATCGACTCTACATTTTATCAGACAACTTCATCCAAACTTACTGGGCCACGGAATCCTGGTGGGCCAGTGTCTCCTTTAAATCCCTGTATTAAAGAAATAGATGCAATTGTCAACCAGATCAATGGATGCTAATGACACAATTAGAATATTCTAGGTTTTTGGGGTTTTTTTGGTGAGGCAATTGGGGTTAAGTGACCTGCCCAGAGTCACACAGCTAGTGAGTGTTATGTGTCTGAGGACAGATTTGAACTCAGGTCTCCCCAACTTCAGGGCCGGTGCTCTATCCACTGCGTCACCTATCTGCCCCATGATTAGAATATTCTAAATGCAGTGCCCCACTTCCGCAAAAAATAATAATCTTCATTAATTAAGTTTTCTTTGAATGTCATTTAGAGTTTAAATCCAAATGTTAAATTGTTCCAGGAAACCAGAAACCCCAATAAGACATCTTACTGAAGTCTATGATGATTGTATCTTGTGCCCAGTTTCCCCATCTTTTTTGTTTTTATCAAATCTGATTAAATTAGAAGAGGATAAAGTCACAGGATACTAAGGAGAGGATTACCTTAACACCAGTTTTGCCAGTTAATCCAGGCAAACCCTTTTCACCCTTAGCTCCCTAAGGGAAAGATAAGAAGAAAATTTAAAGAAGTGAGTTCCCCAGTTTCTCCTATATCCCATGTAAACATTTAAAACTGCTGTTTATTAAAAAAAAGAATTTTAAAATGCATTCATGTTAGATTTGCACAGAATGATGACTAAAATAAGACTGTTATAGTAGGTGCTTAATCAGCATTTGTTGAATTGAATTGATTGTCAGGAATAGTTTTTTTTTTTAATGATAAACTTTTTATTGGTTTATGGATTACAGGAAGGGTTTCCAATTTCAATATGGGGAACTTCCAGTTTGGAAATTCCTTCCAATGCAGATAGTAACCCATTTATGACTTAGTAGATTCAATTAAATTCAATAAGCATTATTAAGCATCTACTATGTATCTAATACTGTAGAGGCTCTAAGGATACAAAAATCAAAATGAGAAAAAGTTCTTGTCCTCATGAAACACAGAGAGGTTAAGTGATTTGCCCATGGTCACACAGAAAATTTCAGAGGTGGAATCTGGGTGAGTTTAGGTCTTCTTGACTCCAAGTCCAGCACTAACCACTATACCACACCACTACTATACCGCACCATTTCTCTAATAAAAAATGACATGAATATAGCATTTTAAAATTTACAAAGCATTTTATGCACATTATTTTATGTAACATCCACAACAAGCCTGTGAGGTGGGTACCACAGGTGACATTGTGCCTACTTTACAGGTAGAGTAGCAGACTCAGAGCTGAAGTAATTTGCCTATAGTGCCCTAGTTTTTAAGTGTCCAAAGCAGGAGGTGAAGCCCAATCTCCCTGACTCTAAACCCAATGCTCCTATTTCCTACACCAGAGTGCACTGTTAATTTAGAATTTCCAAACAAAAGAACCAGGTTGTAATTGAGATAAAGGCTTCGTTTACCCAGGTATTATTGAAGCTTTAACCATGAGAGAATAATGAAAAATAAAATACTTACTGGAAGGCCAGGGAAACCAGGGGCACCATCTTTTCCAGGTTGTCCCTAAATTAAAAACAAAACGAAAGGTGAAAAAAACCCATATGTTATTTTATAAAAGCAGAAAATGTAACATTTTACTCCTCTATTTGCTGTTTTTCCCATAGCCAATAGTTAGAAGTGTTCCCCTTCCACACTAAGGTCAACTTCTAAAAGGAAAAGTCTTTGATCCAACTACTTTGGAAAACAATTTGGAATTAAGCCCAAAGGGCAACTAAACTGTGCATACCCCTTGATCTAGCAATACCACTACTAGGTCTGTAGCCCAAAGAGATCATTAAAAAGGGAAAAGGACCTAAATGTGCAAAACTTTTTATAGCAACCCTTTTCATGATGGCAAAATATTGGAAATTGAGAGGATGCATATCAATTGGGGAATAGCTGAATGAACTATGGAATATAAATGTAATGGAATACTATTGTGCAGTAAGAAATGATGTACAGTCAGATTTCAGAAAAATCTGGAAGGACTTGTACAAACTAATGCAAAGTGTAATGAACACAAGCAGGAAAACATTGTACACAGTTATCAGTGACATTGTATAATGATCAACTATGAATGACTTAGCTCTTCTCAGCAACACAGTGATCCAAGGAGGATCATCATAACACAGGACCCATGATGGAAAATGCTATCCACATCCAGATAAAGAACTGATAAACTCTGAATGCAGGTCGAAATATACTTTTTTTCAAATTATTATTTTTTGTGTTTTTTTTCCCCCTTTTCCCCTTTTGGTTTCTTCTTTCACAACTGTGACTAATATGGAAATATGTTTTAAATGATAGCACATGCATGACCTATATCAAATTGCCTACCATTTTAGAAATAGGGGAGGGAAGGGAAGGAGAAAAATTTGGGAATTCAAAATCTTGTAAAAATGAATGCTAAAATTGTCTCGATATCTAATTGGAAAAGAATACAATAAAAAAAACACAAAAGGAAAGGTCTTACGTACTAAGATGCTTCATTATTTTCTTGCTCCCAAGAAAGGCATGAGGCCAACCAAAAGGCAAGCAGAGAAGAAGGGAGAGAAAAGCTAAACTGTTTTCTGTCTGGTCCTGAACTAAATCTCTTCAATTTAGTTTCTTTATGTTTTATTTTTAAGTGTTCTGAACTCTGAGAGCATCAGACACTCATCTCTATGTGTATGAATTAAAATCCATTCCAATACCACATATAAATTACTTTGAGATGAGCTGTGGTTTTAGATGATCTCCCCCAGCTTATGGATTTCTCCCCCAGCCTATGGATTAATAGTTGAGTTGGTGCCATAGATATATTGCAAATATATACAGCATTATTTTTATCATCTTCTTCTGCATAAAAGCATTTTATGATAAAATCTTAAACCTAGGTTATAATATATACATACACATGTATATTTATACACATGTACATGCACACACATGCTATAAACACACATGTATATACACACGTACATGTGTGTGATGCATGTATGTATAGTTTCAAAGTAGAATACAAATTGTTGCTAGCATCTATTTACACATTCCACTAAGGAATGAATGTTTTTTACCTGAGGACCAGGGTCTCCAGGAATGCCTTTTTCAGATCCATAAGATTCTCCAGGTAGCCCCTATATTGGAGAAATGTCAAGGTTTATATATTCTTGTGTAATGGTAGGGTTCCTCAGACACTCTAGTCAATCAATTGACATGTAAACAACAAAGTTTTAAATATGTAAATGAGAAAGTTTAAACAGTCAGATCTGTTTAAGTTGCATGAATCTGTTTGAGCTGGTTAAGCAAAAAATCAGTGTGATTGACAGAGACCAAACACACCCATTGGGCCTATGTATAACATAGCAGTTCATATCAATAAATTAGTCCAGAAGGATCTAGCCCACAGGTAGAAGATTTCTGTTGTAGAGTTGAGAATACTAGTTCCAACAAAGCCCTTGAGAGAGAATCGTTCTTGGTGGGAAGGGGGTGAAGAAGGATAAAGCTAGTGTTTCTCTCTAGCCTCCTCCATTGACTACATCACTGGGACAATGCATCTAGCCACCAAGAACAAACATGGACCAAAAAGACACATATGGATACAGGAATGTACCCAAATGAGGAGAAGCTACTCAAGCTTCAGGGAGTATGATGCTTCCTCCCTTGTGATCAAAAAAATTCTGGCTGTTGAAAGGGGAACGTCCTTGGAGCTCGACAAAGAACTACACATAAAGAGAACTTCATGAGGACTCCAAAAGGGAGAAAAGGACTTCTGGGACTAGGATCTGCATAGCATTCCTTTGCCATGGATATTCCCTAAACATATACCTCACTACCTTTGTACTTTACATTTAAGCCTACTCTTTCCAGGTGTCATATGAGTCTAGTAGAAGAGCGTTGAGGAAAAGGGCATTTTGTATCAACTGTTCTTAGTATGTCACTTTAATAAATACCTTTTTAAAAAGCTAATTGAGACCACTGGCTTATAACTGTTTGAAAAAAACACCAGTGGGGGCTTATGAGCAACAGCATTAGAAACCCAAGGGCTATCTCTAGAAATGTGATGGAACTCATAATCTGAGGACTTATCCTGCCAATGATTGGCAAGTGGAATTTGGGGAAGTGGTTCAGAGAGGAGGCTATACCTGTTTCTCTAGTCACATTGATTTTATTTACTTACTACCATTAGGATTAGAAGAGCGTAGAGCTAGAAGGGCCTTTATATGGTCAACTCTCTGGTGATGAACCTCTTTGAATTTGAGTTGATGATTGTCAGACCACGGATTGAACTGCTACCACCTGCTCTAAGGGTACCTTCCATATTTATGTTGTATATACAGATATGCTTATATTTGTCTCCCCCATTAGAGTGTAAGTTTCTTAAGAACGGGAATGTTTTGTCTTTTTCTTTGTATGCTCAGATCTTAATATAGTGCCTGGCACAGAGTAAGCACTTAATAAATGCTTGTTGATTGATTGATTGATTGGAAATACAAATTCTTCAAAAACAGACAAAAGAAGGGGGAAAACATACAAAAGGAAAAAAGAGAGGTGACATTGTGTTACTAGTGGTCGAACATTGGACAAATCAATCATTTGACCTTCCTGCCTTCAGTTTCCTCATCTGTAATATGAGGCAGTTGAGCTAGATTTTTTAGGTTCTTTCTAGCTCTAAATCTGTGATCCCAGACTAGTTTATTGACTATGTAGCCTTATCTAGCATATGGATTGCAGATTGACATGTAATTTATGATAGAATATAGGAGAGCAGAATTGGTTTATAAGACAAAGGTTAGAAACAATCAGAGATCCATGTCATGTGGAGAGAGAGAAGAGCAAAGGGAAGGTGAAAGGGAAGAATGAAAAGCTGGGGAAGTACAATGGTTTGTGTTCAGAGGCTCTAATAGGAAAGGCCCAGGACATATGATATATGACAACTTGCAATCCTTGCTACTATATTATCCATCAAGGTTACATTGTCCATGGCCATGAAAAAATATTTATTATTAACCTTTATTATTATACTTACCTTATAATAATATAGGTAAATATTGTTATAGTCAATATTGTTATATAAATGTCATAGCTTTATTATTATAAAGGTAAAATTCCAGGGTTTTTTTGTTAATACGAGGGATCAAATAAAATTATGAGTCAGTTTTTTGTATTTTATCAAGGATTTAAAGTTCCTTACACATTAACATGCATTGAACTGTTTTGTAATATGTTCTGGAAGTAGAGTTATTTGTTGATAGCTTACCTTTGGTCCTGGGGGTCCTGGCTCACCCACTGATCCTTTGTCTCCTTTATCCCCTTTATAGTCCTATCACAAAATAGAATTCAGAGTGTTTATACACTCATAAGATGAGGTTATAACTAGCTGAGACATTTAAAGTTGCAAGGAAACTGGTTCTCTAATATTCCTCATTATAAGAAAACTTGATACATCAGATGGTGATTGTTAATATTACGTAAGAAATCTTCACTTTATAAAAATGATTCATTTCAGGTTTCCTTTTAATAATAAATTACTCTAGAACCCTTAAATCAAATTCAATTTATTTTTTAAAATAGATTGAAAACACCTTTTCAGGAGCATGTGAAGTTAGATGTCCCTGTTCCAGAATGACTGGACCAACTTATGGCAATTAGTGCATGGATGTATCTATTTTCCCACAGCTCCTCCAATATTTGTCATTTTCCCTTTTTTGTGATCAAATGTGATAGGTATGATAAAAATGATTCATTTCAGGTTTCCTTTTAATAATAAATTACTCTAGGGGCAACTACGTGGTACAGTGGATGGAGCACCGGTCCTGGAGTCAGGAGGACCTGAGTTCAAATCTGACCTCAGACACATAACACTCTCTAGCTGTGTGACTCTGGACAAGTCACTTAACCCCAATTGCCTCACCAAAAAAAATTGCTCTAGAACACTTAAATTCAATTTATTTTTAAAACAGCCTGAAAACACCTTTTCAGGAGCCCCTCTATCATGTGAAGTTAGGTGTCCCTGTGAAAAAAAATGCTCCAATAATCAGAAATGCAAATGAAAACAACAGTGAGGTTCCATATCATACCTATCACATTTGATCACAAAAAAGGAAAATGACAAATATTGGAGGAACTGTGGGAAAATAGGTACATCCATGCACTAATTGCTATAAGTTGGTCCAGCCATTCTGGAAAGCAATTTATCATTACTACATCTTTATCCCCAAAGAGATCAAAAAAGAGGAAAAGGATCTCTAAGTACAAAAATATTTATAGTAGCTCCTTTTGTAGTGGCAAAAAAATTGGAAACAAAGTAAATGTCCATTGATTGGGGAATAGATGAACAAATCATGACTGTAATGGAATACTGTTGTGCTATAAGTAATAACTAGGAGGACAGTTTCAGACAAAACTGGAAGACATATATGAACTGATATTGAGTGAAGTGGACAGAATCAGGAGTTACATACAATAATGACAATATTGTAAAAATGAACAACTTTGAAAGATTTAAGAAATCTGATTTTGGAAATGATCAACCAGAGTCCAGAGGACTGATAGTGAAGGATACTACCCACCTCCTGGCAGAGGAAGATGGACTATATACACAGAATGGCATGTACCTTTTTGGACATGGCCAATGTGGGAAATTGTTTTGCTTAACTATGCTTATTTGTTACAAGGGCTTTGTTTTCTTTTCTTTTTTTCCTTCAAAGAGAGGGGAAGGTAGGAGAAAGAGAAAAAGTGAAGTGAGGCATTTCATAATTACAGTTTGGTTCATTATGCCATTTTTGTACATGGGGCAAGAGTTTGGGTCTTCCTGCTGAACGCAATTAATAAGATAAATTAGAGTGAAGATAGACCTTGAATTTCCAGTTAATCCTTGAAGGCTCAATCTGCTTGCTTCTTTATAAAATCACAATGGGCTCTACAATTTATTCAGTAAAATGTTATGTACAGTTTGGATTTTGTCAATTAAGTTATCTCAAATATATTTAAGGAACTATACTGTTATAATAACTCACATTTATATAGGATTTCACTTTATATACATTGTATCATTTGATAATTAGAGTAACGTGATTATCTCATTTCAAAGGAGACCTGAATCCTTTCATAAAGCAGTTCTTTTTCTTGTTGTTTCACTTCAAAAAATTACTTTCTAATTTATCTGTTCGGTAAATTTGGATTTTCAACCATCAGCTTGTTTTTTTGGTTTGGTTAGAGGCAGACTTGTACTGAGCAAATTTAAGAAAAAGATCTTTTTTTCACTTTGGTTGCAGTGACTATGTTGGATGCAGAATTTGTTTTAATTGTTGACAAAAATGAAATGACATAATCAGTCCAAAAATAGTCAAATGAAGAGCTAAATTACATTTATGAAAGGCAAAATTTCTGAACTCTATTCTTGTGGCAAACTCTGGCTACTGTCCATCTGAAAACTACAAAAGAGATACAAAACTTAGGGTACTGTCCTCAGGAATCTGGGAACTAACAGAAGCCCTCCACCCTCACCTGCAACCTACCAACAGGACATTCCGATCATAGTTACCATTCCCACCCTTGTCCCATAAATCTCTCCTTCTACTTTTCCCCAGTCTTCCATTCCTGAACTGTGACGAAGAGGTAATGGGGAAAGGAAAGGAGAAGGCAAATGGATCGGATTAAAGGAAATTTGGATTGAGGATGGGTGCTGACTTGTCATCCTTGCCCTTTCCAATTAATTAATTATGAATGAATTCAATTAATTAGTTAATTGAATGTAAGAATAACAGGTCCCAGGCCTAGCAAAATGTAAAACTAAAATTCTGTTGGAGTATTACCGTTAGATTATCTGGTCCAGTCAGTGTCACAATAACTGCTCCTGGTGGTCCAGGGGGTCCTGCTAACCCTTTCACACCCTAAAAGGACAAACGCATAAATGACAGGAAAAAACAACCAGACTCCAAAGATAAGCTATTATTGAAGAATGTCACTTCCCTATCTCTGTACTTCCTATATTAAGATTAACCAAAAGGCAACTTGAGATCTGGAAAGTACATTCACTGTGAATGCCATTTTTCTAGCAACTGTGGATATTTATATGACAGTTCTTAAAAGTCATTTTCCCCATCTATGTAAAAGGTAGCATTTTAAATTACCTGATCTCCTTTTTCTCCAATCCCTTTAAAACCCATGTGACCCTATGGAGAAACATAAAGGTTATATTTTTAAAAAGTCTTTATACATGAAAACATTTACATTTTATTTATTTAATCTTTTACACTGTATGGTCATATTTGAACCTTGAATTTTAGGCTGATAAAAGATTTTTTCAGATAATACTTGTGAGGAAGATGATCTTATTTTAAAAACAGAGAAATGAAGTACAGAGAGATTTAAGGAATTTACTTAATGTCACAGCTTACCCAGGAGACAGTACTACACGGTGAAAAAAACTTTAGAGGTGGAGGGAGTCAGGATACCTGGTCCCTTACCCCACCTTAGTTGACTTTGTGATTTGGGGCAGGTAGGACATCTCTTCTTTGTGCTGTCAAAAAGAGAGACTGGGTTTGGATTTCAAAAGTACTTAGCCATTACAATGGCTTTGAAATCCTAGATGGGACCAGTAATGCCACATTAGGCCAGGAGTTGTGAAGGTACAGGGGTCTTAAAAACAAATGATTACCTTTCACAACAGAGTTATAAAAAAAGAACCAAATGAATAAATGTGCGAATGGATATTCCCTATTTACCATCATGGTCCAAGTGTCACAGGATGTTAGAACCAGAAGGAAGCTTAGAGGTCTTCTAGTCTACTACCCTTTTTTTACAGAGGAAGAAACTCAGGCCCAGCAAGAGGAAATGATTTGCCCAGAGTCACACAGATAATAAACAGCAAAGTCAGTATTTAAGCCCAGGTCCTTTGATTCCAAATTTAGTGTTCTTTCAGAATAACAACTAGAAATTTTGGCACATAATGCAAACAGTACTAAATGCTTTATTAAATCAATTTTCTAATTCATGATGTGAAACTAATAGACCCTGAACCTGTGAATTCATTGGTACATTGATAATTCATTAAAGGAACTCCCAGGTGAGAAAATTCTCTTTACCAACACAGATTGATACCTTCTCTATAGCTTGTAGTCTATTCCAAGCACTGAGAGGTAAAGTGTTTCACCTAGGATCACATGGTCAGTATCTGTCAAAGGTGAAACTTGAACCCTAAACTTTCTGTCTTGGAGGCATACTCCTCTATTCACTGCACCAGTGATGTCAAATTCAGGAAACTCTCTAAGACTCTAAATTACTGAGAAAGTGCAGATCTGTTCTTTAGGAACAGATAAAATCATCAATAAAATCATAGAGCAAATAAAAAAATAATGACTCATAAATAGGAACATCGATAACTTCCAATGTTAACTAATCATACTTGCTAATTAGGTGCTAGGCTAGGCTCAGTTGTTTCTCTGCTGTTGCAGAAGACGTACATGTGTTGAATTTTTGTGCTTTCTAAATTTTGGTGCCTGGAGGGAAAGTCCCAGCTGCCACGCCCTAGTGATAGCTGTATTCTTTCAGCAAGATGGAATTAAACATTAAAATAAAAAAGTGAAAAAAAAGAGAGTAATGGAGAAAATGTTAATGATGCAAATTAAACTTAAAGGTATGTACAAAAAAAGATGAAATTGGTCTTTCTTTGGCAGTAACATCTTGCCCAAATCTGTTAGTTGATATGAAATACAATTGAGTAATTTTTCCAGCAGATGTCTGAATCAGGTTGATGATGCCCAACTTTTTTTCTGATGAGAAGCTATACTTGATTTCCTCAGAAACCTGACTGGGGACCTGGGATCGGGGATCCCTCCCAGTCATACTTTCTTCCTTACTGGAAATCCCTTTGAAGCTCAGGGAAAGGGCAGCTGATTTGAGGATCAATGAGGAAAGACCCTAAGATTTATTAGGCAATCAAAGCTCCCTACCTAGGGATCTCTGATGTAAGCTATACCACCTGTGAACTTTGATCTACCTTTGGTCCTGGAGGTCCCATCTCTCCTGGAAAACCCTGGAAGACACCATAAATTAAAATTACAATGTGAAAAGAGGTTCTGCTAATTTCACTAAGAAATGTTTTATCAATGGAAGAACAACTTATTCAGATAGAGAAAAACTACCTATATCCACAAGTTCCCAAAATAATACCCATGACCATCTTTATATGGTATTTTAAAAAATACATATATACATACATACATACACACATATATACACAGTGTATATATGTGTGTGTATATACATGTGTGCATATATGCATATATACATACATACATATACACATGTATGTGTGTGTGTGTATATATATATATATATATATATGTATAGGCTTCATACTCACTAAGAATCCTGGAGGCCCTTGTGGTCCAGCTGGTCCAGGAAATCCTGGGGGGCCAGGCAAACCCTTTTAAAAACATGAATAAGAGTTAATTTCTATTTAGTTATTATACAAAAGCAACACTAATTTCACTTGCTGCAATATTTTCAAGGAATCTGAAGAATAAATCATATCTAATAAATCATCATACCCAAAGAATAGAGGGTCTTTAACTATGTGGATTAGGTCATCAGCAACCCAGAATGGAGGGGAATGTCTACAGATATATAGGCAGAGATTCCATTGTGTTTTATAACAGAGTCTATATATATTTATTCTCGCTTTCTCCCTGCTTATCCAATCTTAAAGTTTAGACCTCTCTGGTCTCCTTCCTTCTTATCATTCATTGCTTGAATCTATCAACACAGGACAGCAAGAACTTCCTCAGGTATTGTTTGTCACATCTCACCAGTTGAATGGAATCAATTCAAAACTCCTAATCATCACTTCAAGGCCCTCTACTAATTGGCATTGTCCTTCAATTGGAGTTCGGATATATCCCATCTTCTACACAATTCCTCCATCTCACACTGGCAAACCACTTGTTTACCCAGGCCCCAAAGCCTTTGCTTATGTCATTACCTGAAATGGGCCCTCTCTTTTTTTTCCTCCTTCAAAACACTGCTTAAGACTCACCTCTTCCCTAAAGTCTACCCAGTTCTCATCAATGCAATTATTCTAGCCACTCCCTATCAGCCACTGTATAGTTATAGAATCATAGAACAAGATAAGGTATTTTCTGCTAATCATGGAATAAGACTGGCTGTAATTCTTTTGTTTTTGGAGAGAATTTGTCTGCCTACGGAGAGAGGAGCTGACTCAAGTGAGCCTTTGGTGTTCAGGGGAGGGCACAACTGTAGTTGTGTGGGCAACCCAGGGAGTCTTCCCTTATGTAGGGAATCTATGAGTTCACCACCATGCTGATAGAATACAAAATGGTGGCATGTCTGTCTTCCCCCAACTAGGTGTTTTGAGGACTGTGATTATGATTGGTAACCAGTACTAGTTGGGGTGGGGTGGGGTTGGGGTAAGCAATTCATTGGTTTGTGATGATACAGGAATTAATATACAGTCTAGGCTGATTATCTGCAGAGGCGACTGATCTAAGGTTCTGCCCCAACCCTTTGGATTATATTGGTTTAGGGAACTCACTGGATGAGGACCTCTACCAAGGCAGGTCAGCACCTTCTCTGCAACTTATAGTCCTAAGTGGGGGTTCTTAACTAGAGGTTCATGAACTTGTTTTTAAAATTATTTTGAGAGCTATATTTCAACATATTTGGTTTCCTTTGTAATACTATGCACTCATGTATATGTGAAAACATTATTCTGAGAATGGGTTCATAGGCTTCACCCCAAACTGCTAAAGGGATTCATGACACAAAATTGATATTCTTAAAATAAGAGTCTGGCCACAGTATTCCTCTCCTCAAGAAGCTCAATTTGACTATTTGGCAAACTCCGGCATTTAAAGTCCTTTATGATCTGGCTCCCTTGTGATCTGACCTGACATCAGTCCTCTTGATGCTCTCTGTATTCCAGTCAAACTGGCTTACTTGCTCTTCTCTGTAGGTGATATTCTATCTCCTCTGCTCTCCTTATTCACTTTCACCCTGGAGAATCCCTAGCTTCATTGAAAGCACAGTTTAGGAGCCATCATCCTCAGGAGGCCTTTTCAGATCTCCCCATTTTTAATGTTCTTCCTACCCCCAAATCATCTGTATTTACTCTATGTATACACACACACACACACACATATACGTATATATAATAAATGTTAACTATAACTATGTATAACTATAACTACATATAACTATAACTATATATATATATGTGTATACACTTATTTGTGTACATGTGGCTTTCCCGCAGTAGAATGTAAGCTTCTTGAGGGCAAGAACTGCTTTATTTTTGTTTTTGTTCCCCAGTGCCCAGCAAATATATGGCATGTAGTAAGCTTTTAATAAACATGTGCTGAATTGCATTATTGAATCAAATAGTGTCTCATTACAAAATTTTTAAAAGGTTGTTGTTAGGAAGAGAGATGTCTTTGAATTGCATGTATGAGGTAGATTGGTGAATCTGAATGAATGAATGAATCAAATTTTTAATGAAACGACAAGTATTTATTGTATTAGCATTGCTGAAGTTCTGTACCTGACGTCCTGGGATTCCTGGTAACCCAGGGTCACCTCTTCCACCATTTCCTGTACCTTCTTCACGGGCGGGGGCTCCCTTGAAAATGAGGGAAAACTGTTAAATCCAATGAAATATAGTATTTTTACAATTCTTATTAATTTTTATTCAGTCATACCATTCCAAGACTAAAAATATGTCACAGTGGAGGTACGGATAAATAATAGCAGTAATCATGACAGCTCACATAGATCCTGCTTTATATATTTACTCACTGTATCACCCAAGACCCTTAACCTCTTTGCCTCATTTTCCTTAGCTTAAAAATGGGGATAATAATAGCACCTTACCCCATAGGGTTGTTGTGAGTATCAAATGTGAGATATTTATAAACACAGATATAGATATATACATGTATATGGATATATATCACTTTGAAAACCCTATTTTAATTCTAGCTATAATCATCATCATCATCATCATCATCATCATCATCATCATCGTCCCAAAAGTCTCAATGTAGTTTTAAGCTTTACTGGCTTAAAATTGCACTAGGACTTTTGGGACATGCCTTAACAGTTTACAAGGTATTCTGCCCACAACCACAAAATGAAGTAGGAAGTGCAAGTATTATTATCTACATTAAAATATACCCAAGGCTGTTTTAAGTTGCTGGTTTGCTTTAGAGATGGGAATGCCTTGAACTTATCTAGTGTTTTATTTTTGAATTTGCTTTCCCTTCTCTCAGGTTCTGTGATTTTACTGGTGGGGAAAATGAACAGAGAGCTTAAACAGGTTTGTAAGATCATGCATTCAACGACAGAGCTCAATCAAGATTTTAAGGAGTCACAGGATTGAAAGGGGCTAATGATAGAGAAAAGCCCTAAGTTGGGGAATTAAGATTAGGGTTAGGCTGTCTACCTGGAAAAAGGTAGGTTTGACCTATGAGGAAGCAGAAACAAATTGAAAAGAAAGGCTGGTCTGCTTGCTCATCCTCCTGGTTGTAAGGCTTTCTGTGCAACTGTTATCCAAAGCACTGAGAGAGGGTCAGAGGAACTGGTTGCCACCCAAATAATTAATAGTTGAGGACATCCAAAACAGAATGAGGAAGCCAAATTGCAAGGAACACTAGGGACTTGATTGCCCAAGTCAACCTGATTGCCCAGCACTTTGAATCTTTTTATTATACTGGAGTGTATTGTATTTCCTTGCCCTGTCTTTGGCTGGTGCCAGTATGCCTGAATGTCATAGACAGGGCCCAGCATGGCTCCTTCTGACTCAGCCACACCTGCCACATGTACTTTGGGCTCCTGACCATCAGCTCAGTGCTCTTTCTAATATATTTTTCTTCCTCAATGGATTATGATGATAGAAAATTGCATCTGTTTTGGTATATCTATAGAAAGGGCTAGAGAAAGAAATGATAGAATAATCTCTTTTATTCCATAAGTACAAAAAATGCCCAAATTATGTTGGGTTATATATTAATGGTATTTATATTCATGAAATCTTATTTATATTTAACTATATTTCTCCATTTGGTACAAATCTTTTCTTTATAATATTTTAAATTTGAATACTTTTTGATCATTGTGTAATTAATGACAACACTACAAATGACTTACTTTTTCTCCTTTTAATCCATTGGTACCCTAGAAAAAATAATGGTAAATTAATAAAATAGAATGCAAATAGGGAACTTTTCCCCACTCTTGTGAAAAATATAGGGAATACCACATTGATGATATCCAATGATTTATTTCAAAGTTTGCAAATTTGATAATTCTATTGCTAAAGGAATTAAACCAGTGTTTAGTGACAGCCAATGAAGATTCAAGGAACATTAAATAAATCTTTTATGGCAATAGGTTGGTGTGAGAGGAAACTCTATGTATCTAACACAAGGTGTTACCTAAGAAAATGTTCAAGGCACATTTCCTCTGAATCCTGCTCCAGGAGAACAGAAGGCTCATGTTCCTCCAAAGCAAATTATTATTTTAACAGGCCTCTGAAGCACCAAGCCCCATAAGGAGTGAGAAGAAGGCTAAAAAAGTCGAGTTGACAGTAGTGTAATGATATCATTGTGGGTTTTTTTTAAAGTAATACTTTTAATTAGCATGATGCACTTTGTTTTGTTGAGGCATAAATTTAATTTAGTTTTAAGTACTAGGATGAACCTAACCAAAGCATTTCTTGTGATTTTCCAAAGTTTCAGGTTTACCATGGTTCGTAGTGCTATTTACATAGTTTGAGGCTATAGATTAACATGGGGCAGGTAGATGGCACAGTAGATAGAGTGTCAGGCCTGGAATCAGGAAGACTCATCTTTCTGAATTCAAATCTAGCTTCAGACACTTACTGACTACGTGACCCTGGGCAAGTCACTTAATCATGTTTGCTTCAGTTTCCTTATCTGTAAAATGAATTGAAGGAAATGGCAAACCACTCCAGTATCTTTGCCAAAAACAAAAAACAAAAAACAAATGGGGCCATGAAGAGTCAGACATGACTGAAAAATGACTCAGCAAGTAGATTAACATCTGAGAATTGAGGGTTGAGGGGATAATATGCAGAAGTAAATAATGAAGTGAACAGTTGTCATGGTAGTAAGAAAAGCAATACATAGTTGTACCCGAGACTGTCATAGTCTCCACTGTAACCAACCAATATCAGGAAGTAAGGCTGGGATTTGGAGAGTGAGAGAACAAGGGGGTGAGGGGAGCACACTGGAAAAGATCCAGTGAAGGGACGCTTGGGAGCTTAGCTGATAGGACTTCAGTAGTCCAAATTCCTCATTTCAGAAATGAGGAAACAGAGTCAAAGGGAAAGTGATTTGCCGGAGGTCATAACAGTATTAAGAAGCAGAGCTGGGATCTGAACTCAGGACCTCCAATTCTAAAAGAGAGGAAAGAAAGACAGAAATATAGAGGTAAAGGAGGATTATAGAGCTGGAAAACACCTCAAAGATCATCTAATATGAAGAAATTGAGGATCAGAGAGGTTGTGACTTGTCAGAGGTTTGTAAGTTTGTGGAAATGGAGCTCCATTGAGATTTGAGATATAAGCCTTGTGTATGTGTGTGTGTGTGTGTGTGTGTGTGTGTATTCATAGGAAGTCAAGGCACTTGGCAAGGTAAATCTAAGCTCCTAAGTGTGCCTTCACAAGGTGCTAAGGATTTGCTACTTGGCTCTGTGACTTTGGAAGAGATAAAGAAGCGTTAGACATGGTTCCTCACCTCACATAACCTGCTATCTATTTGGAAAGACAAGACTGATACAGATGGAACAATGAGAAAGCAGTTCAAGACAGTCTATGTCCAACACTAAATGGTGATGTACAGACTATAGAAATGTAGTGGGAGTCAAGTAGTCAGAGATGCATCTATAGTACTTTGGTTCCCCATGGACTTCCTTTGGCTGGCTACAAGGGGGTCTCTGTGATAAGATCAGACATTTTGATTCTCCTGTTGACTGTAGAAGGGCCCTGCCCACCTAGACACATCTTCCTACCTCACTTTCTCTTGTCCACAAAAGAAATACTTCATCTCAACTTGCTCCTTTCAGATATACTGAAAGTGGGAAACGTGGCCACATGCTGCTTGATTTCTGCCCTCTTTCCCTTACCCTTCCCAACTATTCCTTCTCTACTGACATTCCGTAGCAGAGCTTTCTCAATAAAGCAGAGTTGCTAAATTCTTATTTTGCTTCTATTATTTATGTCAGGGACAAATAATCTTTAATCTGGAATAATAATAATTAAAGAAAAAAGGTCAGTAGAGAATTAGATAGCCATTCCTTTGAAAAGCTCTGGAGTTTTCAGTGGATTTATAGCAACCTTAATATGAGTCGGAGGAAGATAGCCAGGATGGTGAAGAGCCTCATGCCATATGAGATGGGTGCAAAGAACTGGGAGTGTTAGACTAGAGAAGTCTTAGGGAGACATAATGATTGTATTCAAGTAATTGAAAGTCAAGGGCAAATTTAGTCTTAATATTAGAAATAACTTCCTAAAGAGGAATGGACTGCCTTGGGAGGTGGTAGCCTTGCCCTTGATGGTGTTCAAGAAGAGATTAGACGACAATGTGTCTGATGTGGTATAGAGCAGACTCTTTTTTAGGGATTGGTTGGATTAGGTGGTCATTGAGGACGCTTTCAACTTTGAAATTATGGGATTCTACCATCTGCTAAGTCTGGGACAGTGGGACACTGACAGTGACTTTCATTCTCAGCTGTAACTTCATCTTCTCTTGTCCCCAAACCCACCCAACCCCCTATACTGTTCCATTGATCACTATTAGAGTGTTGTATACCCTCAAATCAAGTTGCCAGTGTATAGTTATCCTAAGACACCACACTACTATCTTTGCAATTAAATTTTAACAATTGTTCGTCACGTTGGCACAACAGTGCAACTGCTAGGTGCACAGCCAAAGTTCTCTTTTCCTTTTCTCAGTCTCATTAGCTGTGATGCTTTCCTGGTGGAGAACACAAATGCCTTCCTGAGCTTCCCTTTTAACACATGAAGGAGAAGTAGATGGATTCTGCATTCTTTTCTGTACGTCATTTCCATGCTAGGGTTTGCAAAATAGAACCTACCGGTAACCCTGGCTGACCTGGTGTCCCTGGAGGTCCTGGAAATCCTTGCTCACCCTGAAAGGCATACAAAGTTGGTCATTCTTAGCCATTGTTCAACTTCACTAGAAAAGCTTATTCAGGCATTTCCTTTGTCCCTTCCCCTCCCCTTTCAGTAAGGCAATGGCAACTCTGGACAAAAGCACTCAGGAGTACTTATAGCTATTTGTGGGTCAGGAAACTGAGAGCCAGGAATCCATTATATCAATTGAAAATGGGATTAGAATCTACTTGTTCTCAAATTGTTCATGGGCTCCAAAAGCCTAATTGTGCCAAGAAATTTCAAATTGCTGATTACTTGAAACTTGAATAATTAGGTCATCTCCCTCCATCTGAGGCTGTGCTCTGGGGAAAAGGGATGAAGAACTGTAAGATCGGTTTGACTTGGTAAGCAGAGTCATTCTTCATCCTGAGTGCAGCTGTACTCCCACACTTGTGTGATTAATGATGCTTTTCACAACTGCAGGTGAAATTGACCACTTGGGCACCTGGTTCTTTATCTTTCTGAGGGTGAATCTGACTAGCTATCCCATATGATGACATCAGAGAATTGGAGAGTAGAGAAAAACTGAATAGAGTAAGTCATCTGATTCCAAATCTTATGCATGCTCAGTTCAGGCATTCATACATGTGTATTTGGCTAAAATCTTTCAAGGAAAACCCAACTCTTCATTGCTGTTCTATTATTTTTCTTCTTTTTCTTTTTTTTCCCTACCTTTGTGCCATTGCATCCTGGTAAGCCAGGAGGTCCGTAAGGACCAATATTCCCAGGAATACCCTGAAAAAAAAGAGAGAACAAAACTGAAAGACATAATTTGCGAGGTACGACGCCATACAAAAGCTGCTGTAAGACCAGGATTAGTGACCAACTTTAATACTGACCTGATTCATAATTTTGTCCATATACCACTCCCTGTCCTGGATGCCTCCCCTCCCTTCTTGCAGATCACAGCCTTTCTGTAAATAGTCCCTTTGAAGACTTTCCAAACTTGGAACAGGGCCATTTGAAGACATTTATTCCATCCTCAGGATGGCATTCAGAATTTTTTCAGCTAGAGAAGACTTGTCAGACCCTGTTCTTTGCTAGCCCAGCCATCAAGAACCCAAAGTCATTTCTATGCTACGATGAGCATTGTGGGCAATTAATTTGGAGTCATCAGAGCCAGGTTCAAATCCAAGCTCTTTCACTTACTACTTGTATAACCCTGGGCAAGGCATTTCATCTCTCTCAGCCTCAGTTTCTTCATCTGTAAAAGCAAGAGGTTGGACTAGACAGTCTCTAATTTCCCTTTTAGCTCTAAATCTATGAGCTGATGATCTGAGTAGGACTTTAGTAGAAACTGCACATGCTAATGTGGTCCTGAAGAATGCTAGAAGCAAATTGGGTTAATTAAAAGCAAAGGATATACCTTTTTGTTAAATTTATTTTGTAGATGATATTGGTCTAATATAGAGTGAAGTCTGGGCTATTTTAACTGAGTATCCAAATAATCATTCTAAATTCAGAGGAACAAGTGAGGGGACCCCTAGGGCAGAACCTATGTCATAGAGTAGATTTATCAGGCTTTACCTTTATGTGGTTTGTTACATCTCAGAGGTAATAATGTAAAAATGACTAATGTGTATACATATATATATATATATATATATATATGTAGTGCCTTAAGCTTTACAAAGCACCTTACATATTATCTCATTGTCTCCTCAAAGCAACTCTATTAGTTAGTGGGTATCATTATCCTTGTTTTACCGGTAAGAAACTGAGATTGAGAGAGGTTTAGTGACCTGTTCAAGATCACACAGGATTTTAACTCAGGTCTTCCTGATTCCAAGTCCAACACTTTATTCACTATATCATGGACCTGTCTTTCTACACAAATCATTGCATAAATAACTGGATTCTAGAGTATGTTTTATTTTTATTATGGTATATGTGGCATATCCATATAGATCAGTGGCACCAAATTCAAATAGAAACCCCTGCAGGACATATGTTGACCATAACCCACAAATTAATTTTTAAATCAATTTTTATTTATTTTGTCAAACACTTTCTGATTACATTTTAATCTGATTGCCCATTTTGCAACGTACTTGTGGGAGGTTCAACGAGTTTGACTCTTCTGATATAAGTCATACAGAATGATTTCAATTATTCTTCAGAGAAATTTAAGAGAGGCATTATGGTCTGGTAGAAAGAGCATCAGATTTTGAGTCAGAAGACTTAGGCTCAAATCCCGGCTTTGCCCCTTACTACCTATATTACCTTGGACAAGTCACTGCCTCCTCTGTTTCCTCATCTGTAAAATGAGGGGGTTGAATTAATAATGATAATAATAGCCAAAACAGACTGTTTTAAGTAGACTGAGGAGGTGCTTTCATTTGCTAGCCACAGTAACTAATCTGCTCTAAGACTAACAAACTATCTTAGATATATATTCTAAGGTGAGCCTCCCAACAATGCTGTGAGATGGTTATAGCAGTATTGGTATTCTCAGGTTCTCAGTGAGAACGCCCAGGCTCAGAGAATGCGAACACCTTAACCATAATCACGTAGCTAGGAGGACCCTTTCTTACAGGTGTGATTCAGATGATGGGTCTTCTTGACCCCCACGTGCAGTGTTCTGTCCACTACTCCATGCTGCCTCCTCAGATGACTTTAAGGTCTCTTCTAGTTTTAAAACTATGATGCCATGACTTGTGACCCTACAAACAAGCAACGTGTATTTCCTCATTACTTACAGGAAGTCCTGGAGGACCTGGAAAACCTGGCAATCCTGTCATTCCCTGTTGATATATAAAAAAGAGAGAAATACTGTTTAAATGTTCAAAATATAGCATATGAGAAAATCAATATGAATGGATGGATTATAATACTGACCCTTGTGCCTTTGGAACCAATAAAGCCTGGAAACCCTGGAGAGCCCTAGAGCCATATTAAAGAGCGAGGGAAAGAAAAAATGCATATTAAAATAATATGTAAATTACATAATATTAATACCTGCATACATTATAGACCATCCTTCCTCACATTCCTCCAAACTGCTAACACTGTTTTACCTCCCATTTGATCTCATCATTAACACTGCCTTACTTGTAATCAATTTTCTCACAAAACACTGTAGATCTAGAATACTAACTTGGAAGGGAAGATAAAGCTCCATCTAAAAGAGACCAGCTAATCAGCTGCTAAAGCATAATAAAACTCAATGTAAAGATGGCTGCGACAGATGGAAATAGCAGCCAACATTACATATCTGGCTTCTCAGGCTTATTAATAAAATATACCACAAATGTAAAGAATTGCATAAATCAGAAATGAATCTGCATTGTTCATGTAGTGAAGAATTAAGAATCATAGTTGAAATACAGCTTTAGAGGGAAGCTGCTTTGGGCAGGGGAGTGGGGAGTGTTAGTCCTCTCTACAACACAGAAACAGAAAGTTTCAGTGACTTTTAGTATTTTCCATCATGCAAGAAAGAAAAAGTTGTTAACATAGTCTTCCTAGATTAGATTAGACTGCCAAGGACAAAGTCTGCCTTTTCTTACTTATTTGGAACTCAGGGGCTCAATATGACTCCCAAATTCTCAAAAAGATTCACACACTGTTCTTTTCTCCTCCCCACTCCTCCCCCACAAAAAATTCTATTTGGGTTATTCCACAGGGAAGATATGTCCTCATGTTTTATTTTTATGTTACACATTTTCTTATACTTTCAAGTACTTCTAAAGTGGGACAAAAAACTTGTGACTTTGGGACCTTTTCTCATCAGTTTTAATTCCTCTGGTGTGGTCTATATTTGAGCCAATGCCTCACAGGTATCCATTCTTGGTGATCTGCTTTAAAGTGTAAACTTCATGAATACTGCATAGAACATATTTTTCCTGGATTAATCCTGGATGTGTTTGGCATATCTTGTACAGCTCATACCCCCGAATTAGTGCTGTGTGCTCAGAAATACTGTTTTAGTTAATGTTGACGTATCTGATGGAAACACTGAAAAAGGAAACAGCAGAGTAATGAGACACGGGTCACATGGGAAAGGAAGTAGCTGCCATGAAATAACTGATTTACTCAACCCCCTGTGGAATGGCAGCTCCCCAAAATGGTGGAAGGCATGCTTAGACCAGGCTTGGCCTGGCCTGCCTCTGGAAGGAGATATTTGAAATGAAAAGAGAAAGAGATGAGAAGATAGAGGTGGCAAGAGAGACAAAATACCGAAAAGGAGAAATAAGGTTGGAATTAACAAAAAAAAAATCTACATTATAAGTGGAAACAGTGTCTCTGGGCCCTTTCTTGGGCTACCTATTCCCTATTTTCTTTCTGGTAGAAATGGGAATGGGAATCTGGGTAAGGAATTCAGAGGATTCCTAAATAATTACTAGCATGGAAACAAAAGAAGATAAATGAGAACAATCATTTTTTTTAAGGTGACAGCTTCAATAAAGTGGCCTCATGTTCAGTTGAGACAGATGTTAGGATTATAGAGTAAATATTATTGCAGCGTTCTAAGTTTTAGATCTGTGACAGAATCCAAATGTGGAAGGTATATATGAATTTAAAAATAGAGAGGGGATGTGGTCCTGCTATATTTTACAATGATGACAAAGGGCTAATTTATTGATTTAGTACTGAAATCTTCAAAGGCCTCAAAACCCACTGTTGTAGGAGGTACCAGATGGTAACTATGGCAATGAGACTAGAAGATCTCTGCTACAGACTAATTTTTTCCCTGTAAAGGCAATGAAACCATCCTTGAGACTTAATTGGTCCAGGAGATCCAGCTTGAGTAATCAACATAATCAATGACATAGAATCATCGACATCTTGGATGCTTGAGGCATAAAAGCCCAGCTCACGATAGCCTGTGCTCCTCAGCTTAACAGCCTTCCCACTGCTGTGTGACCTCTCGCTGGTTGTACCAGTATGGTAAATGCAGGAGGAACTTTGAAGGGAGCTGTGCCCAACTGAACCAAATGTATCCTTTGCTTAATATCCTTTTCATGCTAAGCTTGAGTAAATTTCCTTTTCTTAAATCTTAGAGAGTCACTAGTATGTTGTTGGTGGGGCTGTGAATTGGTCTAGTCGTTCTGGAAGGCAATTTGCAACTATGCCCACATTCACCAGGTTGTGCAGCTGTACCACTACTAGATCTGTATCCCCAAAGAAAGAGAAAAAGACACACATGTACAAAAATATTTATAGCAACTCTTTTAGTTTGTAGCAAAGCACTGGAAATTAATGGGGTGCCCATCAATTGGAGAATGGCTGTTGGGATCAATGAATTAATGGAATATTATCAGTATGGTTTAAAAAAATAGGAAAAGGCTAGTACAAACTTAAGCATAATAAAGTGAGCAGGACCAGGAGAACAATTTTTTGGGACTAAGAACATTGTAAAAACAAACAACTTTAAGAGACTTAAGAACTCTGATCAACACAATGACCAATCACAACTCCAGAAGAATGAGATGCAGATTTTTGGACATGGGAAATGATGTGGATTTGTTTTGCTTGACTATTCTTGTTTGTTACAAAGATTGTGTGTTCTGTTTTCCTTTTTATTTGGGACTGAGTGGGAGGTCAAGGCTAGCAATAGTACTGTCCCCACCAAAAAATGAAGATAAACAAAAGAGGGTCATGAAAGCATCTTTACAATTCACAGAAGGGAATAAAATGAAGTTCAGAAGGAAATACAGACAATCAGGACATAGTTGATGGTAATATCTTGTATGTATTATGTACTTTAAAATATAAGCTGAATGTAATAAAAATTTGTGGTTTCTCATGTAATCCTTTTTTCTTTTCTGCTTTGTATGTGGATATCCCCCACTCCCACCCCGTTTTGGTGTTCACTAAATTCAGAACAAAAAAATTGTTTAACAATATGGTATTGTCTATGAATGTTTCATTTCATTTCATTCCGATCCCCAGCTGGAAGCATGGGGCTAGCATGAGTTATGCCCAACCCAGAACACTATTTTATGGGCTTTTTTTTCATCCTGCCAGAATCATGGTGACCAGTTGGTTGCTTCCTTCATTCTTCTCCCAGCTATTTTTGAATCAAGACCTTAGATGTTGTGTCTCAGACAAGAATCTGTGAATCATGATTCATCAATAACCCACTGCTGGTAGTTTTGCTAAAAGAAAGCTTTTCCCTAACCTTTTTCCTATGAACTATCAATCCCATATAATAAGTGTAGACTCATAATCAAACAAGAAGAAAAGAAAACAAGGTGAGGCTTAGGGGAAATGTAATAAATGATGACTGGCCCTAGGCCCAGTAGATAATCGTGGACTCCAAATCAGTTCAGTTCCTGGTCCTTGACCCAAGGAATAATTAGGCTAACCAAAAGGATAAAATCTTTAACACCAACCTATCAAGGATCGTACAAAGGTAGCAAACTGACAAACAATCAAATTGCTGTCGAATCAACAATTAAGGTGGTGTTAAATGTCAATGGTAGTCATGCTAGGGTTGGCCAAAAGGAGGAGAGATAACCAGAGGGGTAGCAGCTCAAGGCAAGGCTGGGTGTGTCAGAACTCATGCTGCTGTGACAAGAGAGCACATACATGAAGCTGTGTTGCTCCATACACTTCCACTATCTGTAGAGCTGATGAGTTCCCATAACTGCTGAGCCTGTACATCATCAGAGAGCATACGATACGCAAACTTGGAAGATGATTTACCTTGGGTCCCTGAGGTCCAGGTATACCTTCTGGACCAGGCAGTCCTTTCTGGCCGGGAGTACCAGGGCAACCAGGAAAGCCTTTCTCACCCTGTTCAAAACAACAGCATCAACATAAGTTATGTTGGAATTAAATGACCAAACAGCTATCATCTTCCTGGATGATTTAATGGTGAATTTTTAAGTGTGTGTGTGCGTGTGTGTGTGGGGGGGGAGAGAGACAGAGAGATAGAGAGAGAGAGAGAGACAAAGGGAGAGAGAGAGAGAGAGATAGCCATCAGTGGCCAATAGCAGATAATGAAATTGTAGCTACCATAAGATTTCAGTCATTCAAGAAGTTTTGTAGATACAACATGGTATGATAGAGAGACTAGACTGGGGCACAGCTGAAAGAATGTTGGATTTGGAATGAGGGGACTTGTACTCAACTCATGGCTCAGTTACTTATTACCTGGATGACCCACATCAAATCACTTACTCACTTTGAGCTTCAATTCTTTATCTGTAAAATAAGCTGGATGAGGGGTTCCGGGATGGGGGTGGGGGAGGAGAATTGAGCTCAATGGTCTCAAAAGTCCCTTCCAGATGGGAATCTTTGGTCTGTGAGTACTGACCTTGGAGTCAGGAGACCTGGGTCAGATCCTGGTTCTGACTCTTATCAGCTAGTTGACTTCTGATGAGTTGTTTTACCTTGAAGCCTGAGGGCTTTTTTATTGGTAAAATGGGGATACTAATCATGAACTATCTGAAAGGGCTGTTGTAAGAAAGGTGCCCTTGTAAAGTTTTAAGCATACGGTGCCCAAACTTCTGCTCTCCTGCCAATGCCCCCCACCCCTGCCCCAACCCTTTTACCTTGGAAAGCCTCTTATTTCTGAAAGTTCAGAGCTGAGAGATGCAGATGCTAAGTGGTAAGGAAATGTAAAGGGGATAAGGGAATCAAATAAAGTAAAAACAAACAAACAAACAAAACTCCAACACAAAACAAGAAAATGTCTTAAGTAGAACCTGAGGTAAGAATGCCAAAGAATGTGGCAGAAGCATGAAAAATTGTAACATTCCTGTTGTGGGCTTTACTGTCTTTTGTTCTGTTAGAGCACTGTAATATTTAATCTGTTATTTGGTTAGGAGATAAATCAGTAGCAGAAAAAAAAAGATGGGCTGGCAGATCTAATAGTCTGAGTTAAGTAATAGTCATCACTGATAGTAAGGATTGTCAATGAGCATAATAGTTGCATAAGTGGAACCACAGAGGATGGAGTAGATAAAATGCCAAGAAGAGTTGGGGTCAAGCCCTGCCTCTGATACAGAGGGAAAAATAATTCAGCTATTTGGCAAAAAAAGTCTGAATTTTTAATTTTCAAAAGCACAGAATTCTAGGTCGTCTGTGATCTGTCCTCAAAACTGTCTTTCTAGTCTTAATTCCCACTATTCTTTTTTTTTTGTACAAGTTTAACTGGATCACTCACCCCATTTTTACTCCCAGTTTCTCACTTTCATATGTTTGTCTTACAGAAAAATCAGAATGCTAAAATGGTTATAAAGAAATGACATTTTATTATTTTTAGGTGCAGATGGACTTATATTAGTATAATGAAACAGGAATAATAGACGGCTAAGTGACCTACAGAAATGAGTATGTATATTAGTATGTATATATGTATACATACCCATAAATATATATACATTTATAACTGTTGAGATAAGTATATATACATATATACAAGTATATATACTTACATGTACACATACATACATACACATATATATGTGTATGTATGTTTATATACATATGAACATGAATGAGCTGGGGTTACTGTTATTTGTTTGCAGGTGATTAGTGCTTCTGAAACATTTGAAAAAAATTGTTCTCTGCAGTTAATTAAAAGATTCCTCCCTCAAGTCTTTACATCAAATTCTTGGTACCATCCATGAGAACCCTCTGCTAAAACCTATCCTGGCTTTCCACGTCAGCATTGAGCTTACTCTGGCTTCTGAAAGGCTGAGCCAACACATTGCAAACTTTTGCAAGCCCTGACGAGTGTGAAGGGCTCTGCAGTTCTAACTTTGTGTCTATCACTAAGTCAATCAGCAAACATTCATTAAGCACTTACTATGTGTCAGGCACTGTCTTTCATAGGAGGATCCACCAAACCCAGTTTGGGGAGCCATAAGGGGGTGAATTAATTTTGGCCACAGCAACTCATGAAGACCTACCCATCCTAAGGCCTGGAAGGGTTTCAGTCTGTCTCAGTGGAGGGCACATCCACATTTGGGGAAATGATAGATCTTAGGAACTAGTGATGCACCTACAGAAAAAAGATTGGACAGATTTATGTAGAAGCATAGACTTGGGGAAGGACCTTTTGAGATTATCCAGTCCACATCCTCATTTTACAGGTGAGGAAAATGAGTCCAGAAAAGTAAAGGGACATATCTAAGGTAATACAAACAAGAAAGTAGTAGGTCTAAGACTCCAACTGATTTCAATGAACCATAGATTTAGGGACAGAAGGTACGTTTAAGGTCATCTGGCCCAATCCCTTCCTTTTACATTTGAAGAAACAGAAGCCCAGAAAGGTCAAGGATTTCCCTTTTTCAAGGTCACACTGAAAATGTCAGAGCTGGGCTTTGAACCCAGGTCCTCTTAACCCCTAATCCAACTTTCATTTCACTGGACTATGCAGTATGTCTGAATCATCACAAATGGCATATTAATGGAGTTTGAATTGGCAAGATCTTTGCTGCATTCCTTCATTTATTCTTGCAATCAAATTCCTTTCTTAGCCCCATGCTTTGTACATGGCAGGCTTGAAATCCTCACAGAATTGGTTCTTATTTGAATTTCAGAGATGATTGTAGTTCTGATGCCCTCATCTCCCACTAGGTGGAGGTAGAGATCATGACATACACTCTGGCTCTTCTCCCAATGTTTATTCAGCCTCCATCTAATAAACCATGGTGGTTTCCACTTGAACTAAGTGGTTTTCATTTGTCTTCTTGTGTTCTGTAAGATTTTAGCCAGTGCATAAATGTAGGGACATCCTTTGGAACTTCACTTTACTAATTATCTGCCCCTCTCTCACCACCCAAAGAGTTATAATTTAACTGCTGGTATTTAGGCCAGCCAGCCAAAGGCTTGAACAAGGCCTTCTTTCAGGTTAATGTTTCTGTTTGAGTACATTAAAATCGCAGTGTTTGGAAAACTGATGGACACCACTCCTTCTGGATGTTATGAATGGAGCATGTTGAGGATAGAGAAGCAAAATGTTAGTTACCATCTTGTTCTTACCTTATTGCCTTTGAAGCCATCACAGAAGCATGGGCCCTTGGCCGTACAGGCACAACCCTATGGGGAAAGAAAGGAGTTTTGTTTAAAAACAAGGACAAATTTCTATGTTATTTGATGAATCACAATGAGCAGGACAAAAGAATCCGGCCCAATCATTGTTTCTTTTCTTTGACTCAAACTGCTTTGTTTGGCCTTTAAAGTCCATCACAATCCACCTTTTTTACCTTATTAAACATTCCTCTCCAGTTCATGGTTCAGTCAAACTGGCCTTGCTTTTATCCCTCAGGCCTGGAGGGCACTCCCTCTTTATTAAACATTTAGAATCCCTAATTTCCTTCAAAGTTCTCCGGATCACAGTTAGAACTGTCCTCTTTCCCCCTCCAAATCACCTTTTGTGCATATTTTGTGTAGGAAATAAATTCCTTGGGGGCAGGGATTTTTTTTTGTTTTGTTTTGTTTTGTTTTTGTATACCCAGTGCCTGACATTCAGTCATTCAGTCCTGTCTGACTCTTTGTGACTCTGTGGACCATAGTACCTCAATAATGGCCATGAAATTTTCTTGACAAAGATACTAGAATGGTTTGCCATTTCCTTCTCTGGTGGGTTAAGATGAGCATAAGTTAAATTTCTTGCTGATAGTCATACAGCTAGTAAGTGTCTGAGGTCAGATTCGAACTCAAGTTCTTCCTGACTCCAGGCCTAATGCTCTCTCCACTAAGTCACTTAGCTGCTTTATCCGACACATAGTAGGTGCTTAATAAATACATGTTGGTTGATTTTTCAAGTGTAATTTACCACAGAAAGCCTTTTCTGATTCTCCCAGATTCTCCATTCTTTATTTTTTAAAAATAATATTTTTTCCCCAATTACATGTTAAAACAAATTTTTTTTTACAATTTTTCTTTTTAAGTTTTGAGTTCCAAATTCTATCCCTCCTTCCATCTCTTCTCTCCTTCCCTGAGATGGTAAGCAATCTTATATAGGTTAGACATGTGCAATCATGTAAAACATTTCAATATTAATTATTTTGTACAAGAAGACTCAAATAAGAAAGGAAGGAAGAAAGAAAAATAGCATGCTTCAGTCTGTATTCAGACACTATCAGTTCTTTCTCTGGAGGTAGATAGCATGTTTCCTTATGAGTCCTTTGGGATCGTCCTGCATCATTGTATTGCTGAGAATAGCCAAGTCATTCATAATTTTTTGTCATATAATATTGCTGTTACTGTGTACAACGTTTTCCTGGTTCTGCTCACTTTACTTTGTATCAGTTCATCTAAGTCTTTCTAGGTTTTTCTGAAATCTGCCTGTTTATTCATTTCTTATTGCACAGTAATATTCCATCACAATCTATACCACAGCTTATTCAGCTATTCCCCAATTGATGGACGCCTTCTCAGTTTCCAATTCTTAGCTACTACAAAAAGAGCTGTTATAAATATTTTTGTATAAATAGCTCCTCTCCCTGCCTTTTTAAATCTCTTTTGGATACAGACCTAGAATTAGTATTGCTGGATCAAAGGGTATGCACAGTTTCATAGCCCGTTGGGTATAGTTCCAAATTGCTCTGTAGAATGGTTGGATTAGTTCATGACTTCACCAACAATGCATTAGTATCTTAATTTTCCCACATCCCCTCCAACATTTATAATTTTCCTTTTTTGTTATGTTAGCCAATCTGATAAGTGTAAGGTAGTACCTCCATTCCCCTATTATCTTGTATTTATTTTATATATACTTATATGTGTGTCTATTGTTTTCCTTGACAGAGTGTAAACTCTCCAAGGGCAGGGACTGTTTTTATTTTTAATCTTTGTGTAATAGGTTCCTGGGGTGCAGAAAGGATCTGGGTTATCATATTCTCCTTTGTATCTTGGGTGCCTGGCACCTAGTAGGTGTTTAATAATGGTTTCTGTGACTTGCCCAGGGTCACACAAGTATTAAGTGTCAAGTGTCTAAGGTAGAATTTGAACTCAGGTCCTCCTAATTCCAAGGCCAGAGCTTTATCCACTGCACCACCTCGCTGCCCCAACCTCTCTCTCTTTTCTCAGAGGAACTCTTCTCTCATGTCTCCCTGGAACTCCTGTGAAATGCTTTGGTCTTCCTGAAATATGTCCAAGGCTCAGAAATGATGGTCCACAATGTTTGTCTTTCTCTAAACAGAACAAACATCTCTCTGATCTTAGATTGTGGGGAGATGGAATACATTTTTGTTTTATCTTATTAGCCACTTGATGTACTTTAGGACATCTGCTGATTTTTATGCTAGATTAACTCTCTAGGATCTGTGACAGCAGAGGGAAACACTAACCAGTGATGAAAACAAAGCAAGTAGCTATGCTTTCTGCTTGCATTCAGGGATTTGAATAACATACGTCTAAAAATATAGATGTATGTACATGTATACTTATATATACATACATTAACTATTAAACTTAAAACTGCACTGAAACTTTTGGGACATCATATATATGTGTGTGTATGTACACACACACACACACACATACATGCATATATTATTTCTGTCTGCACTCAGAGATATGAATAATATACATCTAAACAAATATAGATGTATGCACATGTATTCTTGCATATACATACATAAACTATAAAACTCAAAACTGAACTAAAATTTTTGGGACATCATAGATATTATGTGCAGATATGTGCACATATATGTATATATATTTATATATGATTTCTGTCTGAATTTGGAGATATGAATAAGATATATATATATATATATATATAATATGTAGTGCACCTATATACACAAAGCTTAAAACTGCAAAAAACTTGGGATACTGTATATACATATATGTTTATACATGTATACAAATGTGTGTATGCATACCACATATATGTGTATATATGGAGTCTTCCAAAGTCTCTAATGCTTAGGTTAATGTTAATATTAGTTTGTGCTCCCTAGAGTTGTGAGAAGAAGGCTCTGATTATAAATTTCCAAGGAAGGCTTTTGGAGAGAGTTATAGGAAACTAAAATGTTTTCTTAGATATCCCCCAAATGGATATTTTTTATGTATGTGTATACATAGTTGGTTGGTTGTTGTCCTTTGTTCTCAAAGAGGACCAAAATGACATCACTATGTTAGGGTCAAGTTACAGTGTGTCTGACTGACTGATCAGACCACTATGAGCAGAGTGCTTTACCACAGGTTGGGCACAAATAGTCCATGTGAGCATTTGGGGTGGAGATATCTCTAAATTCATGCATCTCACATTTATTTTGAGCTACTGCATGTGTGTATGCACACATATATTTAATATGGAGAGATGTAGGTGTGTGTGTGTGTTTGTGCATGCACCTATGTGTATGTAATTGAGATTAGGACATTAAAAAGTAAAAGCTCTATTAGAAGATGATCTTTCCCTGAGAGGTGAAGAATTGAAACTCAGTTGCTTTAACTTTATAGAATGAAGGAAGAAAATGCAGTTCTTTTCAGATCTCATCTTATTCATCCTCCTATTACATCTGAATAAAGGAAAGGAAGGCGAGGGAAGGGAATCAGCATTTATAAAGAGCCAGCTATGTGCCAGACATTGTGCTAAGTTCTTTATAAGTATTATCTAATTCTCTGAACCAATAGCTCAATGTTTCCAAAGATCAAGATGTTATGTAAATGAAATGTATAGAAGATTCTTTGCAATTTTCCATTTGGGGATGTTTTGGTACAATGCAGTCAAGTCAAAAGCCAAATATCCATAAATACCTCCAGTAGGTAAGAACTGTCTAAAGAATTGTGGTTATTTTTACATTTCTCTTGTTAAGACTGTTATTGGTTGGTTTGAAAAAATCCTTCTTGTTTCAAGGTCCTTAGTGGTCATAAGTGAAAGGAATTGTATCTGGTTTTTCATTCATCTCATACTTGAGGCTAAGAAACTAAGCCTTAGTTGACACTTTCACTTGTAATCAATACATGTCTTTAACCTGTTTTGTTAAACTGATTTATGAATTTATTCCTTATTGTCCCCTATTTGGGGCATCCGCCAATATTTTGTCTTTTTCTATCCATGCATAAAGCATGACACTTGAAAACAGCAATAGCTCTTGGAAGTATGGCCAGAATGTACAAAATGTATAATAAATGGATGGATACTCTCCAAAAGGAACACATCATGGCAAAGAGACAATAGTGATAGCTCTGGGGTTCCGTGGATTCAGATTTTTCCAGGTTTCTGATGCCCTCTTGGCAATATGTTTGTATCTAAGCCTCAGTTCTTGCCTCTAAAGTATTTTGACCTCTATTCTGGCTTGGACCTTCAGGTTCAAGTGCTTATCACTGGGCGTCTCCTTTGCAAGAAGACCTTTCTCGTCTCCCCTTTTATACCTCTCCAAGCATTCTACAATCTATTTCCACTGGTCTTTGCACCTACCTGTCCCCAATGCTAGGAACGCTTTTCCGTCTCCTTTCCATCTCCTAACTTTTCTGGCTTCTTTCAAGACTCAGTTCAAATCCCATTTTCTGCAGAAAATCTTTCCCAACCCCTTATAAGTCTAATGCCTTTCCTCTGTTAATTACCTCCTGTTTGTCCTGAACATAGCTTATTTGTATATGTTTGTTTGCTTGTTGTCTCTAGGATTAGATTGTGAGCTCCTTGGTGGCAGGGATTGTCATTTATTTCTTTGGATGCCCAGTGCTTAGCACAGTGCCTGCTACATAGTAGGTGCTTAATAAATGCTTATTGACTGACCAAAATTATTTTTACTGTGCATGGTTCTATAGCTGTGCACGTGTACACTAGCAATGACTGCCCAACTCTCTGTACAGAAGCACACATGAATGAAAATGAAGATGAGGAAGATGAAGATGATGAAACACAAGATTCAAGATCCCTATTCTTCTAGCTGGTGCTGTATTCCCTAGAACACATATTTAGATTTGCCAATGTGGCTCAATATTTTTTAAAAGAATATATGTATTAAGGTACATAGCTAGAAAAAATAATAAAATTGATCTGGAAGAAAAAAAGGTCAAGAATATCAATAGGACTCATGAAAATAAAATTTGAAAGAAGAGGTCTTAGTGGTACCAGA